CTTTTCCAGGTGAATCAATAGAAATGCCTGATTGAATTAGTAGGTTAAACTAAACAACATACTGTCATAGGAAAACTAGACAGCTTAACCAACTTGCTCTTAGAAATGTTACCTTAAAAAAAAAAAAAACAGTGCTAAGAGAAAATACAATTTTAAATATTTTGTTGAGCCTGTAGAGTAAGTTTTTTTAAAAAAACTAAGTTCATAGCATTTTAATTAACTTTGAAAGTTCATATGTATCAGAAAATTTATGAAAACTTGAATGAAAAATATTTCATCTATTTTTCTAATTTTAATGGCAAATTTACACTATTATGGCTGATAATTCTGTGAACTTACCTTCTTGTTGACTGATTCTTTTTCTCTTAATCCCAGCTTTAAGGAGATAGGTGAAGTTATTATACAAAGTTAAGTGGTACCATAAAGTGTATATTATAAAGTCATACATGGCTTTTGGACAGTATTATATTTCAGTTGCATTGCTGCATTCCATTAAATTTCATAAAATGCTAGGGAAAATGTGTTTGATAAAATTTTCTGCAGTGAGAAATGACAGACTGAGTGCCTGACAGTTTAAGCCACATATGAAATATGCAAGTAAAGATTCAGTCCTTAATGTCATCTATATCATGGTGTAAAAGCTCAACAAGTGTCTTATAATTTGGAGTTAATCATACAAAGTAAGAAGAGTTTAGATATCTTGAGATGAAATATTTTCATGTTTGCTGCTTTTTTATAATAAAAATCCCAACATTTTGCCATCTTATTTTTAACTACATGAACTTTGCAATTTCATTGGCTCATTCTAATGACCACCTAAAAGTCCTCAATCTTTGAATAGTGCTTTATTAGCTCCTCTAACTGGTATTCTAACAGTTTAGCAGCAGTTATATTTATTAATGCTTTCCTTTTTTACCCCTTTTTACATAAACACACACAAATACACCAATGCATATGCACACAAACATTATTGTCCTTGTGAGGGTTTGGGGGAAATGACAATAGTACCCTTCTCCTCTTCTTTTGATTCCTTAGTTCCCAAATAGACTGGTGCTAGTCATTTAGTCATTTGTAAATTTCAGAATGTAGTTTGATTAAATGTGAACTGAATTCTCAACAATGAAAAATGTCAAGTTGGATTCATCTAATAAGTGAATATAATATATTTTGTAAACATTACATTTGAACGCCTAAATATTTGTTTCATAATCATTACATGCTTGTTTATGATTTATAAAGATTTGGTAGAGAAAAGTACAGTCCTTAAGGCATATATATGCCAGTGCATTAAACTACTCAGCTTTTGTGTCAGCTCAGGTGTTCATAGGAACAGGAATGTGGAATACCAGCTTTTCACTTTAATTATACTTTTATGCTTAATTTTTCTTCCAGTTAAATCTTTAATTACACTAGTATGTAAAGTAGTTACTGAGAAAAATGATTAAGTTTTTGATTTCCCTTCTGTTGATCTGTAATATTTTTAAACGAAGCTATTTAACACATACGACATGCTGATGTTACTTAATGGATTCCTATGTATTTCATTAAAATAAAAAACTCCCACCTGTGTTAAGACAGCTAAATATTTCTTGATGTTGGCTTGAGGACCAAGTGAGCCATCTTGCCAGTTAAGCAAGTTTTATGTCCAAGGACCAAATGGTTAAAAGAGGAGAATTTGTACATTTGTTGAGCTTCCCCATGTGAAGCTTGGGTTCAGTACTATCCTATTACTACTAGCCATCTTCATACTGAGTGAAGCAAACTGAAAGGGAATTCATAATCTTTTTTCTTATCTGAACAGAAAAACTAATGAAAATCAACAATACCTATTTTAATTTTCATTCAACAGCTGAAAAACCATTTCTGTTGACCACATTGGACTATTGCCTAGTTAAAATCCATAAAATATCCTATAAACCAATGAAAAGAAAGTAATCTGGCAATAATTTCCAACATTTTAAATTCTAATTTCTAGTTACAAAGAAAAAGGATAGAATGAGGCTTTTCAAGGAATTCTTGTTCATCCCTTCAATAATTTGGCAGGCAAAACAGTCCTAGAATTCAGCTTCCTTTTTGGTTTTATTACTATTAAATAGATAACTTTCATATAAATGGAAACACTTTTCCTCAAAACATTAATTCAAAACATACTCCTTATATTAAGGATTATAGTACCACATTTTTTGTAAATTCCCTATGTGTAACTTTTTCCTGTTGGTATGTGATTTTTTTTATTTAATATGACTATCTGCTGGTGTTGGGGCCAATAGATTTGTGAATATTCTGTGGATGTGTCTATGTACAGGTGTATATATATATATTTTTCCAGCTAATACCTCAAATGTGTGATTGTTTAATATATACCACACTATGTTTGCACAGTGCAGGGCTTCCATTAGCAGTGGATATTTTTATTTCTAACTTTGAAAATCAGTCAACACAATTTCATTGGTGTGACTTCTTTCTGTTGCTCTTTTTCATATTTTAATGCAGAGATTCCTATTATAAGGTCCATGCTTCAAACATAATTATATCTTTCTATATCCAGCCATCTGGAAATATATAGGGTTAAGAAGTATTTCTTGAAATGTCCTTGTTTAGTAAGTTAGTAAAAACTGGGATGACTAGTTGCCAAGATGTCTTGTAACTGCATAGCAGATGACACCTGGCATGGCAAGCCTCATTCACTTCAGCACAAGACTGTACATTTCAATCTGATATTCTACTTTGCCATTTAAGTACACAATTAAAATCAGAGATTTTCAGTGACATTGGAGTATTGTAATTATTAGTTTCAAAAAGAATTATTTTGAATAGGATGATTAAACCAGTGAGAAGAAAGAAACACACATAAATGATATTTTGCAGTTTATCTGTATTAAGAAATGCTTCTTGCCAATTTCTGGTTTTGGTTTTTGGATTGCTGCATAAGACTTTCTTTCCATTTACTTTATGTATTTTTAAAAGCTGCAGGTAATTTTTAAGGTTTGATGGAATTATAATGGAAGCCTTGTATAAGTTAAATGAAACTAGTAAAGGAGAGCTTACTTTGTCTATAATGCATTCAGGATTATAAATTAGATTTTAAAATGAAATGTCTGATTTGTAAAATATTTAATGTTATATCAGACTTAAATAAAATTTTCTGTGAGAACGCAAAGTAAATGCATTTGATTTTTAATGAATGTTCTGAATGAAATATGAATTTTTGTCTTTCAGTCTCTGTAGTTTATCTCAATATATTAATAAAAAGGTCTGTTCTCACTGTAAAATGTTTGTTTTTATCATGTTTTATACTCTTAATATGGCCACTCTTTCATTCATTCAACTAGGCAACAAGTGTATCAATGCTTGCTATATCCCAGGCAGTGAGCTGGGTGCTGGGAATCAATCATTGAATAAGAAAGACAAAAACCTTAGAGTTTCCATCTAGCAAAGAAAATAAATATCAAGTAAATAATTATAATTATGATAAATTCTACAAAGAAAATTACAGGGCACAATGAAAGCATTTATCTAGAAGGCCTAAACTATTCAGTGAGGGTCAGGAAAGGCTTCTCTGAGAGTGAGTTTAAGCTGAAATGCAAAAGAAGAGATTAGTAGGATTAAGGTATGCTAGAGAAATATCTCAGGCAGAATGTGCTAAGTTGGTAAAGTGATAAAAATCTTTATGGAAGTGGAAACAAACTTGTATGATCATAGCATAAGGAATCCAGGGTAGGTGAGAGAATCAATATAGGGGCCAGATCCCCATAAGAACGATATATAAACCATGATGCTGATATTGAACTTTATCCTAAGTCAATAAAGTTGATTTTCAAGAAAGGAGTTAAATGATCCGATTTGGGTTTTTAGAACATCATTTTTGTTGCTCTATGGAGACTGGAGGGCAAAAGAGAATGTAAGAAGAATAGGAGGTTATTGTCAAGAGAGAGATGATCATGGCTTGCACTAGGGTACGAACATAGATAGGTGACTAGTTTTCAAAGATAGGAGGTAGAATCAACAGAACTCTGATTAGATTTGTGACATGCAAGCAGCAATTAAAAACCAGGCTAAAATTTTCTGAAAATTTGGCTATGAAAGGGAGTAGAGGAAAAACAGGGTGGTAGCTGAAAGAGGATGTGATTTCTAAAGAAGCTTTTCTTTTGAGCATCTCGCTCTGTCACTCAAGCTGGAGTTCAGTGGGGCGATCACCACTCAATGCAGCCTCAAACCCTGGGCTGAAGGGATCCTCATGCCTCAGCTTCCGGAGTACCTGGCGCACGCCACGTAAGGCTAATTCTTTATTGTTGTTATTATTATTATTAGTAGTAGTAGTAGTAGTAGAGATGGGGTTCTATCTTGCCAGGCTGGTGTGGAACTCCTGGGCTCAAAGGATCGTCCCGCCTCGGACTCCCAAAGTGCTGGGATTACAGGCGTCAGTCACCGCACCCGGCAAGGCTTTTTTTTTTTTTTTTTTCCAATTATTATTTATTATATGAGACCTTACTAATTTTTTAAAATTCTGATGTAAAAGGGAACATAGAAAGTACCCGTAATCCCGTGTCTGCATGTTAAAAGTAGACGCTTGAAGTGCTCCAGAAAACCCATGACTCCTCCCCATTCAATCTAGATAAGGCCTTGAGTAAAGAGCACCCATGGGGAAGTCACAAGAACCTAGGAAACAAGTCAGAAACCTGTGGACCTGATACTTCCAATCACAGGCAATCTGTTGCTTGCTCTTCAGCTCATCACACCATCCCCTCAAATTTCTTCATCTACAAGAAAAGGTTTTAAGATAACGGACCCTGAAAAACTAATGACATTTATACACCCTCTCTGCACAAGAATGTCTTGTAACACATAACCTTGCTTGCATTTTCTGGGGTCCTCAGGGTCCAGCGATCGCGTACAAATCCTCTACCCCACAGCTGACGTCCCTCGGCCCGTGACACAAGGCGCAGGCGCAAGACGCGGCCCGCGGTGGGCGGGGGAGGGGCGGGGCGCGTCGGGCGGCCGCGCCCTCGAAGCTTCCGCCAGGCCCTTCCGGAAATCCAGTATCGTGGGGCGACGGCGTAGAAAGTGCTTCCCGGAGCGCCGAAGAGGTCATCAATCATGTGACGGTGGCTTGAGGAGGAACCTGTCTTTAAAGCTGTCCCTGAAGTGACAACGGAGAGAACCAGGCAACCCAGAAACCCCAGGTAACTGGCGCTACTTTGCCTGGTTTGAGGCCTAGTCCCGGAGGTGGCGCGGGTGGTGAGACTAAACAGAAGGAGAGGGCCCCCTCTTCTTTTCTTTGGGCCTAGCTCTTTGGGGTGGAGGGGCAGGGATGGGGTGGGCTGAGGCAAGGCGTGCCAGCTGAGTACCCGTGGGGGTGTTGGGGCACTCCGACTCCCACTGGGCTCGCTGGGCCAAGCCCTAGAACCGCGGGGGTTTTGCCGGGTTCTGACCAGGGCTGATCTTGCTTATTAAGTTGGGGGTGGGGAGGACGAGGAAGCCAAAGAGGTAAGAGTCACCGGGAGTTTCTCTTCCAGGCGTGGAGATTGATCCTGCGAGAGAAAGGGGTTCATCATGGCGGATGTGAGTGACACCCCCACATAAGAGGAAGGGAGAGTGGGGAATTTGGAGGGGAATACTGAGCGGGGAGAGGTAGAAGATCCTCCCATCCCCACCCATCCCAGTTAATTATTTTCTCTTGTATGTGAAATGGGAGACTAATATGAATGAATTTGCAGGATCCTGAGTTTCTGCCTCGAATGGGGGTGGAGGACACTAAGGTGCTTGAGACTGAGAAAATTATATTCTCCCTACTCACCAATCCAGCTGGGGTATAAGAGAGGCTCTGTGTATTTACCATTTGAAATTCTGAATGATGGTTCGCTGCTTTTCCTGTCAGAATTTGGTCAGTAGGACATGTACCCAGAATACTTTTTTCCAGTAAGTGGTAACAATATCTTATTAGGTTTATTGTGGCAATTTACGATGATTTCTAACCCATGCCTCTTTAGAAACATAACATGAAATAAAATGAGGGGTGTGTGTGTGTGTGTGTGTGTGTGTAGGATGAGAGCAAAAATAAGCCAATAGTCATAACATGAAATAAAATGATCATTCGGGTTTGGAGAATAGTAAGTGTTGGAGGCTCAAAACAACAGATATCTGATTAATCCATGCGAGGTCAAAATTGATACCTCAAGTGTCAGTGAAATTCCTGGGATGAGAGAGTGTAATGAGACAAAATAAGATAATCTTCTGGCCGGTGAGGTGGCTTCGTCTGTAATCTCAGCATTTTGGGATGCCGAGATGGAAGGATCACTTGAGGCTGGGAGTTCAAGATCAGCCTGGGCAACGTAGCAAGACCCCGTTATACAAAAAGAAATTTAAAAACCAGGCGCATTGATAACCCTGTAGTCCCAGCTATGCTGGAAGTGAGGCGGAAGGATTGCTTGAGCCCAGAACTTGGAAGTTGCAGTGAGCCCCAGCTTAGAAAAATAAAATAGTCTTATATTTCTTTAGTCTTAACTGTGTTTAGTGTTAAACACTTGACACACTTCGCCATTTATCTTATATTCTGTAAGTCTGGGCTGGGCGTGGTGGCTCACGTCTGTAATCCCAGCACTTTGGGAAGCCAAGGCGGGTGGATCACCTGAGGTCAGGAGTTCGAGACCAGCCTGGCCTACATGGTGAAACCATATCTCTACTAAAAATACAAAAAAATAAGCTGGGACGTGGTGGTGGGTGCTTATAATGCCAGTTACTCGGAGGTTGAGGCAGGAGAATCGCTTGAACCTGGGAAGCAGAGGTTGCAGTGAGCCGAGATTGCGCCATTGCACTCCAGCCTGGACAGCAAGAGCAAAACTCCCTCTCAAAAACAAAAAAAAAGACTGTTGCCTCACATAGTCATATATAATTTATTTTAGGTCCTTAAACAGAATATTTTAATAATTATGTTATAATAATATGCCTTACACTGTTTCATTATTTGTTGAGTAGGTGAGTTCAACAAATAATGAAACAATGGAAGGCATATTTTTATAATGTGAGACAACAGTCTTACAGAAGTCATATCACCTTACCCAAGACCATTAAAATGATGGTGGAAAGTCTATCTTTGAACCTGGAAAGGTGTTTATAATGTCTTCTCAAGTGAACACAATAGCAACAGGATATAAAACACTAGTATGAAAATTATGATATATTTTTATGGCTAAAATGTATTTGTGTTTCCCATTTCTAGGTATGCTAATCCATGCAACTTCTCAAAAAACTTTAACAGCACTCTTATGATGTAGGTTCTATATTAGCCCTATTCAACAAATAATGAAATAGGCTTAGGGAAAAAAGGTTAGTTAACTTACTCCAAGTTGCATGACTAGTAAACATCCAAATCAGACAGAGAAAGATAAAACACAGCAAGAAAGGTTATGAATGATAACTGAACGTCCCTAAAATTTGGATAGGACAGGATCTAGAAAACAGTGGAAGGCCTATTATTATAACATGATTTTTTAATATTCTCTTTCAGGACCTAAAGCGATTCTTGTATAAAAAGTTACCAAGGTAAGAAATTTTTAATTTGTTACTGAATAAATTCTATATGCCATATGTTAATTTTATGAAGTATTTTGTCTGTGTATTTTCAATGTTTTGAAGTATCTCTGAGATTTCCTTTAATATGAATATTTTTTGCCAGCATCATGTCCTCTGGAAAATTTTCGTCACAACCGCTTTCCTCATTTATGTCAATAAGTTTGCCTTCACTGAGTTCTCTGTGTATCTAGAGGGATAGTGTCAGCATTCCCTTGGTCACCTGTTTCTTCTATAACTCTTTATTTGAAATTCACTTCCAGCATTATTACTTTTCATTTCTTTGCTGTATTTCATCTTTGTCGGCCAGTTTCCTCTTTTTATTATCTCTTTTTCTAAATGTCACATACTTTATCATTGGGAGACAAGGAGGTACAAAACTACATGCTTTGCTATCTCTGCATGAACTGCATAACAGATGGCACAGTGACCAACCATCAACATACTTTGAAAGAAATGATGTGGCTGGTTACTGATGACAGTGTGCATCTCTTAGTTGCGTAATTATTTATGTTATGATTTGTAGACTAAAGAATTAGAAAAGTTTATACTACTTTATGCAGTTATTCAGGTATTATGCCATGCTAACTAAAATGTGCATATTGGGACTGTGCAAAATGAGGACTTTCTGTATTTTTCTGTAGTTACCTTAGCATAAAGGGTGCTCAAATTGGAATGGAGAGATACCCCACTACACTGGCGATATGACGAAATAGTTAATAGTGCAGTTAATTCACTTAGAAGTCTTAGTGATTTACAATCCTCTTTTGAGTGTTAGCATCTCTTATTGAAGAAACAGCAAAATTACATTCAATGTTCTTAAGTTATAAACCCACCAGAAAGATACCCATTATTCATCTGGAGATCTAATAAAGCAATAATTGATTCTAATTACATCATCTGTGATTATAAGTATCAGAAATGTTTCAGACAATGGTGATCTCATTTTAACTATTAAGTGTACTCTGAAAGTCATAATAGTGTGTGACACTGGGTATGGTGAAGATGTCTGTATAAAGGAATTAGAGAATAATACCAAAAGTATTTATTATATTACTGAGTAGTTCTAATGTTGATCAGAAATAGTTGGAAAGTATATGCTTGCTCCTTCTTTGAATTCGGATGTCTTTTATCTTTTAACGAAAGGGGAAATACCAGGTTGTCGTGCTTATCCAAGAAATAAATTCAGTTAAAGGATATTTGTTAAAAGCTTTATGAAAGTCTTTCATAATGGCAGGAAAGGTATTAGTACTGTCAGGTTTTTTTTTAAATAATGAAAAAAAGCCAGTTCAACTCATATCATTTACTGAAATTAGGCTTACTGCATCCCAGAACAATAATAATGAAGAAATAATAATGTTTTGAACATTCATGAAGAATAGTAGAATACACTTTGATTTGTTGCTAGATGTATGGGTTTGGATGCAGGCATCCTGCTTCAGAGCCAGGGATTCATGCTTTTAACTGTTGAACCTCAGTGCCTCTCAGTAACAAAGTCTGCCAGCTATGGATACTAATGTGTGTTTTTGTGCATTTTTTGAATTCTCTGCAAAATATCGTTCTTGCGTTTGCAATTTAAAATCTGATTGTGACCCAAAGCAGTCTCAGGCTTTAATAATCCCACTTTGTATGTTTTAAAATAATCAAATATTTCATAATTATAAAACTAAATCTGATGACTTTCATTAGTACTGCAACATTTGTTTTTAGAAAAAAATGGTTGTTTTAGTAAGCTTAAGGTTTAGATTTCTTCAGAATATTTCACAAAATTTAATTCATTTCTTCTAAAAGTATAATATCTCTTCATGAGCCAGTTATTTTTAATTATTAGTAAAATCTATTCATATTACTCTTTGTGCATTGTATGTAGAATTGAAAACAGCTTTTATATTGGGACCTGATTTCTAAAATTATATACTTAAGAGTGTAAGTAATTTTTCTACTTTCTTGAATTCATTTCTCTGTGAAGTCCATCAGAAAGAAAGTCCTTTTATTTTCTTTGGAGCATTAGTTGTATTTAAAGTAATTTCCATGGAAATTTTAAAAAAGAAGCTACCTGTGGTGGCACTAATTTTTCTAAACATTTTTGTGGTCCTCTTTACCTGTTTTTTAAGTTATTTTGGGAGTAGGTAGTACATTCATAAAGTTCAGATTCAGGAGTTCACTGAAGAACATAGAGTGAGTAGCTGCCCATCCTTCCTCTCCAGCCACATGCACAGTTTCCCCTCACAGAGGCACCCACCATTATCTGTAGAGATATTTTATGTACCTATGAGCAGACATGTATATACACATATTTATACACACAGCATACACATATGCCTGCACATTTTGGTACATAATTTATTGCTGCTTGTATACACTGTTCTAAACTGTATTTTTTCACTTAAGAATGTAACTTTGAGAGTAATCTTTCCTGGTACATAGAGAACTTCCTCTTTCTCATGACTGCAGAGTATTCCTTTGTAGGTGTATATCATATCTTACCTTGTCCTTCTTGATGGACAGTTGGGTTTGTAATGCTTTACTGTTTCAAATGATGTTGCTTTTGGTAACTGCACAAAATAATTGGCATATGTACAAATATCTGTAGGATATGTTTTATATAATCTAGTTTTTAACTTAGAATATATTTATTTTATGTATTTATCTGTTTTGGGTTTTTTTTGTTTTTTTTTTTTTTGAGACAGAGTCTCGTTCTGTCACCCAGGCTGGAGTGCAGTGGCGCGATCTTGGCTCACTGCAACCCAGGTTCAAATGATTCTCATGCCTCAGTCTCCCAAGTAGCTGGGATTACAGACAAGCACTACCACACCCGGCTAATTTTTGTATTTTTAATTGAGATGGGGTTTCATCATGTTTTCCAGGCTGGTCTCAAACTCCTGACCTCAGGTGATCTGCCCACCTTGGCCTCCCAAAGTGCTAGGATTACAGGCATGAGCCACCGTGCCTGGCCTATGTTATGTATTAATCTTAGAGATATATTTTAATCCATAAATAAGTTTAGGATTGAATGAATAGGAAATCATGCCAATAATAGGATAAAAATAGTATAAAAGTAATTTATAAAGTTATTTTATTCTTATTTTTTGTGTAAGGAAGACAAATGATTTTGTTTGTAACATTTTCCACTCGCATTTAATAACACTTCTCTGACTTAAAAGTTTTTGCAATGGGGTTTTTAAAAATTTAATGTCAGTATTTAAACATAAGGTTAATATACTATTTCTTATTCCTTAGTTAATATATTAAAGTTAACACTTTAAAGTTAACGCAAAGAATAGATAATTCCGGGTTGCAGTAGGGATATTGAACATATCTCTGAGTTGTAGTTTATAGATTCCATAAGATAGTTACAGGACTATAAGTTTTATGTTACAATGAAAGGGTTTTGCATAAATGTTGAAAGTTGAGGAGTGTCACCTTATATTTTTTAACATAGTACTTTTGTGCTCTACTGTATGTATTTCTTAATTGCTAATTTCCCAGGGATTCTCACTGATTATTTAGTACTTAAACTTTAGTGATAAATTATGTCATTGTCACTGTGCACAATTGACACCATTGGTATTAGTTAATAAGTGATATTTTCTAATTATGTGCCAGCCAACACTTTATGTGCGTTGTATTAAATTTCACAATATCTAAGTAAGTACAGTTATTCCCATTTTTCAGATAGTTAATCTGAGGCTTATAAAGGTTTCATAACTAGCCCAAGACAGCATAAATAATCAGTGGCAGAGCCTGGACTGGAACCCAGGTCTTTCTAACTTTAGAGCTATAGCTTGACCATTCTGCTTACTACTTCTGTAAGCATGGCTGAAAGCATTGCTGCATGGCCTTCATTCGTTTTGCCCTGTTTCTTCAGCCAGGAACAGTCTTTCCACGTCTTTTCACTTAATACCATAACATCTCAGCTGAGATATTACTGCCTCAGAAAGCCTTCCCTGGTCCACTCTCTGTCTGCATCAACCTCCTGTTTTCTAGGTTCTCATATCACTATGAACTTTTTTTTTTTTTTTTTTTTTTTTTTTTTTTTTGAGACAGAGTCTTGCTTTGTTGCCCAGGCTGGAGTGCAGTGGCACGATCTCAGCTCACTGCAAGCTCCGCCTCCCGGGTTCATGCCATTCTCCTGCCTCAGCCTCCTGAGTAGCTGGGACTACAGGTGCCCACCACCACGCCCGGCTAATTTTTTTTTTTTTTTTTGTATTTTCAGTAGATGGAGTTTCACCGTGTTAGCCAGGATGGTCTCGATCTCCTGACCTCGTGATCTGCCCGCCTCAGCCTCCCAAAGTGTTGGGATTACAGGCGTGAGCCACCGTGCCTGGCCCCTATGAACTTTTTAACAATACTTGCCCCCAATTTTAGTTTTACGTTTGTTCTTGTGAGATTATTGATAACACACTCACTTTTTAGATCGGAAGCCACGTGAAGGCAATGATTGTGCTTATTTCTGTTTTTCATAGTATCAAAGTATTAAGTGCCACAAACACCGGCCATTTAATATTTGCATGAATGAAAAAAGAAGAAGGCTCTTTTTTGTCACTGCAGCCATTGCTGACAATCTTTCATGCTTTTGTAAACCATGGACTGATCATTCATTAGCAGTTTTAATGGAGAGTTAGCTTTGTCTTAGATTCTTATTAATAAACCGCATGAATTTATAAATATTATAAACATTTCTATAATAGACATTGATTCCATTTCTGGGAGAATTTTGGGGTCCTGTGGTTTTTCAGAAAATACATGAGAATTATTATGTCTTTGAGGTGTATAGTTTGAGAAAATGAAATATTTTATATTTTAACTTTTTTTATATTTTAACTATTTTCTTTTTCTAGTGTTGAAGGGCTCCATGCCATTGTTGTATCAGATAGAGATGGAGTACCTGTTATTAAAGGTAAAAGTGAACATTTAAATGCAAATATCTTCTTTGCTTTTGACTAAAAATGCGTGTAATTTACATCTGAGTAGTACAGCAGGCAAACATCTAAAATTCATTTTAGTAAATTTTAGGAGATGGTGGTCTTAGTATTGGCGGAAGTGTTTGCTTTTGTATGTTGAAGGTTGAATTTGAATCTACAGTGTATTATATATCAGGTGTATCATGTTAACATCTAGAGTTTAAGCATGGATTTATCACAGACCCATTTCCCGTTGAAGACATTTACAGTGCAACGTAAACCATTAGTAAATCTAAGTGATGAGAGTGAGCATGTAGGCAGCTAGATAAACACACAGACACCCCTACATTACATACACACACACACACACACACACTTTATCAAATTGCTAGTTGTTTTAGGATAATACCCATGTATTTGAATCATAAGTAAACATGATGTCACAGAGAGTCAGTATGGATTCAGACAATTTTTTACTATTTTTATTTTATGGTATTATGAGCATGGATGTTCCTAGTTTTTTTGGGACACTGTAATGGCTTTATCAAACATTAAAGATTGGATAATGTTCTGTATATTTCGTGTACAATTTTCCACCTGGAGTTGTCATATATGTCAGATAATTTTAGACTTTAGAAATGAACGGAGGTTTAGAAGTCAAGTGATTTAGTTCTTTCATTTTATAAGTGAAGGTAATAAAGTGCAAAGACACTTGGACTTCATTAGCAGTTTCAGTGGAGAGTTAGCTGTGTCTTAGATTCTTATTAATAAACTGCATGAATTTGTAAAGATTATAAACATTTCTATAATAGACATTGATTCCATTTCTGGGAGAATTTTGACAAACACATTATAAGAACATGGAATATCAACAAAGGAGGTCCTGTGGTTTATAATCTTCAAACATTGCAGTCCAAAGTCGGGCGTGAGTCAGTAACAGAACCCATCATCTCCTGATGTGTGGTCCAGTGTGCTTTCTAACTCACTATAAAATGGTCGTTGAATGGTTGTGGACAGATTACTTGCTTTCTCTTAATTCTGTAATGAGGGATTTGAACAAAATAATCTCAGATTTTCCAGTTCTAATGTTCTTCATGAGGATATCTGTGTTAAAGCCTTGAGCCCTGCACTCATTAATACAACAAACTCCATGCAGACCTTTTAATGAGTGAGAGAAACACGAAACAGGTAACTAGCTGCAGATTGCTAATATCTATGAGAGATATTCCTTGCTGTGGGTTTTATAAGAGCAGAAGTTTTGTAACTTTTTTCATTAGTTTATTCTAACCTAGTCCTCAGATAACCAGTTAAATGTGCTTGATTAATCTATGTTTTAAGTTAGATATCAAGAAAAGGTAAACATTTAATTTTCTTTTTAAAATTTAAAAAAATTGTGAGAGTCAGCATTTCTTCTATTGTGATCAGTGAACTTTTGACTGAGCAATTTTTCCTGATTAGTGATGAGACCCCATTAGTGATATGATTTTCAATATTGTGAAACATAACCTTTGTGCTCAGTTTTAAACAGAGGTTTATGAAAAAGGGCTGTAAATCTCTCTATCATATCCTCTGCATAATTTTTATTTAAATCACTTATTTTTCTAGTGGCCAATGACAATGCTCCGGAGCATGCTTTGCGACCTGGTTTCTTATCCACTTTTGCCCTGGCAACAGACCAAGGGAGCAAACTTGGACTTTCAAAAAATAAAAGTATCATCTGTTACTATAACACCTACCAGGTAAGTTCATAATTATCAAATGATTTGCTGATTTCAGTTGTCATTTTTGTACCTTTTATATATAAAATAGTTTGTGTTATAGTTCTCAATTTCAGTTTTGAAGGGGATGAAATTGTAAAATTTTAGCCTTCAAATTGGTTGTGTTAAACGGTAGTAATTTTCTTCACATTTTATACCAGGAAATAATTACGATGGAAAAGTAATTAAGTGACTTAATAAAGTACATGTTATCCTAAAAAGTGTACGTCAGGTCACTGTTATCTCCAGTAGATGGTGCCCTTAGCTAAACAACTGTGATTTCTCAGATGACACACTTTTTTTGTTGTAGTAACAGATAAAAAAAACTTTCCTTGAAAGTTTATTAAATTTGCTCTTGCTACTAATTCCTTCATTTTTTGGAAACATATATATGTAATAAATGAGGTTATTATTTGTGGGAAAGAAGTTAGTTTTTACATGTCTCTTGATCTCAAGCTATATTTTCTTAAGACTGAATTAATTCCTTGTGCTTTAGAGCTATGTTTCCTAATCAATTGATGTTAAGTTACTCTTTTTTTTTTTTTTTTCTTCCGAGACAGAGTCTGCCTGTGTCGCCCCATGCTGGAGTGCAGTGACATGATCTCATCTCACTGCAACTTCCGCCTCTCAGGTTCAAGAGATTCTCAAGCCTCAGCCTCCCAAGTAGCTGGGATTACAGGCATGTGCTACCAGGCCTGGCCAATTTTTGTATTTTTAGTAGAGATGGGCTATCACCATGTTGGCCAGGCTGGTCTTGAACTCCTGGCCTCAAGTGATCCCATCCACTTCAGCCTCCCAAAGTGCTAGGATTACAGACGTGAGCCACCATGCCAGGCCCATCTTTTATTTTAAAAGTTACATATTTTAATGTGTATTAGGTAAAACATAACCAAACCATCTGACCTTTAATTTCAAATAAGGATTAGGTTGAAACTAAGTTTTTTTTTTTGAAGGTAGTTAATTTAAAGTTATTTTAAATTTAATTTAAATTACTGTAATACACAAGAGCCAGAAAATATCGTGAAGATAAACCTACCTGAATGACTGAGAACTACTGTATTTATCCATTTAATTATCAACTACTTATTAAGTCCTTATGATGTAATTGACATTCTGCTGGGCTTTAGAGATAAAAAAATGAAGACATGGTTTCACCTTAAAAACTTTCCAGGCTCAATGGTATTAATGTCTCTAAGAGATCATCACTAATTATGGAAATATTCACTGAAATAGAAAGTTCGTTTCTATTTCATAATGTAATACTATGATGTTGGACTAAAACATTAATCATTTTAAAGGTTTTGAAAGATTAAGACATTTCAGTTTAGTTATACTACCTTTTCACAATGCAACATATTATTTGGCTCTTATTTTCTTTTTAGGTGGTTCAGTTTAATCGTTTACCTTTGGTGGTGAGTTTCATAGCCAGCAGCAGTGCCAATACAGGTGTGTTTAATTACCTTAAATATCACTTTTAATCCTTAATTTAAAAAAATTAACTTAATTACCATACCTTAATTTAAGAGGAATAGTAGATTTAGAGCCAAAAATCTTGAACTTGTGGCCCAGTTTCACTGTCTTTTTTCCATGTCTTGGGAAGTGATTTCTCTGAATCCTAGTTTCCATATCTGTATAATGGAGATAATATATGCTTTCTCCATCTTACAATGTTATTTTCTAGTTCAAATGAGACCGTATGGGTAAGTGATTTTTTTTTTTTTTTTTTTTTGGAGACAGGAAAATTAAATATTATCTTGAGTGCTACATCTTGCTCCCATTACAGCAGTTTAAGAAAACAAGGTGAAAATAACCCTACAAAATGCATTAAAATGATTGATGAATTATAGACCAATCTATTAAATTAGAATTTTTAAAATTTTACCTAATGGGGAAAATGAATGTGATTGAGAATTTAAAGAGCCTGAATAAGACGAACGTAGTCTCATTCTTCTTGAGAACTGAAGAATTTGAGAACAAATGCTAGGAAGCTGTATCCTTTATAGAGGATAGTAAAATTCCATTGTATCCAATACTTCCACCGAATATTTATGTGTAAAATAATGACTATTCACTTGGTTGTAATTTTTTTACTTCATTTTGTATAAAGTAGGATTTTTATTAAAAGGTCTGTCTCCTTTAGATTTGATTGCTGTTGAGAATTGTAATGTATTTTTTTTCTGTTTGATATTTCTCCAAGCTGAGCAAATTCTTCTAGCTATGTCACTGAAGCCTGTTCTTAGATACCTTATCTTTAGAATGAGAGGTTTAGATTTGATGATCTATTAGATCTCTTCCATTTTGAAACATTTTAGAAATCTGTAAAATACTATATGTAAAAGCACTTTCTGAATTATATAGGATAGTAATGGTGTTTAGATTTTAAGTATATTTATGAAATATACTAAATCTCAATTTTGGTACATGACCTATCACATACCAAGTCACCAGTTGTTGTAAATTATGATAATGTACAGAACAATATTTTAGTACTTGGACCCTTTCCTTGAGAGTCCAGATGCTTTTTATGTTCTATAAGACAGAGAAAGATCTTTATTTGTTTGAATATAAAACAGGCTCTGTTTGAGGTAGGTAGCCTTTCACTCTAGTAAACTAAGGAGAAGCTAGATATGCTGATTTCTAGATGTTTATCTCCCAGGTTCATCAATGAACTCCAGTGTGTTTTATACTCTACCATTTATTTTTAAAATATGTTTTCATTTGAAATATTTATTTATGTCTTAGCTTTGTTGAATTTATAAAAATAAATTTCTGATTTCCTTTGTTCAGTATAGAAGCTATCTACCTATCTTTTGATGTAATCCATTAAAATTTGCTCAGAGACAAAAGTATGCCTGATTTAGTAAAAATTATATGTATTTTTTCTGAGTCAATGCAAATTTTGAAACAGTAAGGTATAAATTAAGATTTTCATTCTAGAACTCTAACAAATTATAGTGCATATAATTTATTCTGTATTTCCTAATATGTAAGTATTTTTCACTCATTTACTTCAGTAATAGATGCTGAAAATAAACTTATTAATGACTACAGAGTTTTTGGTTACTTTATTTAGGGTTATAGTACAGGTTGAACATCCCTCATCCAAAAATCTGAAATCCAAAACATTCTAAAGTCTGAAATTTTCTGAGCACCAATATGGCATTCAAAGAAAATGCTCACTGGAGCATTTCATATTTGAGATTTTTGGATTAGGGATGCTCAACTAGTAAGTATTGTACAAATATTCCAAAATTCAAAACACTTCTGGTACCCGGCATTTTGGATTGGGGATATTCAACCTGTATTTTGTTTCAGTCATGGGAACTAAACTATGTTCTGATTTACTTTTGGTAACTATGTATTTTGGGCTTGAGGAAATTTGAATTTCAGACTTTGAGGAACATTTTTCTAACATGTAATTTTCTTAATCTCTTTATTTTAGGACTAATTGTCAGCCTAGAAAAGGAACTTGCTCCATTATTTGAAGAATTGAGACAAGTTGTGGAAGTTTCTTAATCTGACAGTGGTTTCAGTGTGTACCTTATCTTCATTATAATAACACACTATCAATCCAGCAATCTTTAGACTACAATAATACTTTTATCCATGTGCTCAAGAAAGGGCCACTTTTTCCAACTTATACTAAAGAGCTAGCATATAGATGTTAATTTATGGATAGATCAGTTGCTATATTTTCTGGTGTAGCGTCTTTCTTATTTAGTGTGATCTAGGGATACCACAGAAATGGTTCAGTCTATCACAGCTCCCATGGAGTTAGTCTGGTCGCCAGATATGGATGAGAGATTCTGTTCAGTGGATCAGAATCAAACTGGTACATCGATCCACTTGAGCCGTTGAGTGCTCCCAATTGTACAATATGCCCAGGCTTGCAGAATGAAGCCAACTTTTTATTGTGAATAATAATAAGGACATATTTTTCTTCAGATTATGTTTTATTTCTTTGCATTGAGTGAGGAACATAAAATGGCTTGATAAAAGTAATAAAATCAGTACAATCACTAACTTTACTTTGTACATATTATTTTGCAGTATAGATGAATATTACTAATCAGTTTGATTATTCTCAGAGGGTGCTGCTCTTTAATGAAAATGAAAATTATAGCTAATGGTTTTTCCTCAAACTCTGCTTTCTGTAACCAATCACTGTTTTAATGTTTGTGTGTTCTTTATAAAATTTAAATACAATTCGTTATTCTGTTTTCAATGTTAGTATGTATGTAAACATGATAGTATAGCCATTTTTTTCATACGTGAGTAAAAATAAAATCGTATTTTTAAAAATATAGTTTGAGCACTATATAGGTCCTGTTTTTGTTCAGACTTTTTCCAAAAATCTAAACTTAATTACTCTTTCAGCCACATGAATAAATAATGAGTGTTTCTTGTAGGTATTGGTTTGGAGGTTGTTTTATGGTAGTATAAACTGTTAATTGGAAAAGAAACCTCAGGTTGCAGTCAGCCGAGATTGCGCCACTGCACCCTAGTCTGGGCAACAGAGACTCCGTCTCAAAAACAAAACAGAAAAGAAACCAAGAAACCTCAGGCATGAAGCTAATTTAATCTCCATGAAAGAGGTACTACAGTTCTAGAATATGCCCTTTATGTTCAGGAATGCAGTCTATCATTCAGAGTTGTTAATTTCTTTCTAGTTTCTTTGACAATCAATTTTTCCCTGGAACAGTTCAGTACATGTGCATTGAGCACCTGTGTGCCAGTCAGCAGAGCTATCACATTGCACAATTCTAAGAAGCACCATTCATGTCACATCATATTTCTATGCTCTGGGAGTTGCTTTTCACATAGAATATGTGTGATTGTTATCCCTAAAATTGTGCAGTGAGGCAATTGGCTAGGTGCTGTGCTGCTTTTTCTTTGTGTTTTTTTTTTTTTGTTTTTTTTTTTTTTTAGAGACATAGAGTCTTGCCATGGCCATGTTGCCCAGTCTGGAGTGCAGTGGTGGCATGATCTTGCCGCACTGTAACCTCTGCCTCCTGGGTTCAAGCTGTTCTCATGCCTCATTCTCTCTTGTAGCTGGGATTACAGTCTTACACCATCGTGCTTGGCAAATTTTTATATTTTCAGTAGAGACAGGAGTTCACCATGTTGGCCAGGCTGGTCTTGAACTCCTGACCTCAAGTGATCCGCCTGCTTTGGCCTCCCAAAATGCTAGTATTACACATGTGAGCCACAGCACCAGGCCATGTGCTACTTTTTCTTCCTTCCATCCTTCCGCCCTCCTTCCAGTGTAAATATGAGATTAATTTGTGATACTGTCCTTTAAAGAACTTAGAGGTCAGTAAAGGAAGCAGGTATAGAAAGTGCTATGATAAAGCTATACATAGGATGGTATAGAACCACAGACTAGAGGCACCTAAAATGGACAAGAAAATAGCCTTTACAAATAAAATAGAAGCAAGAGATATAATGCTGGCGGGCGGTGGCTCACGCCTGTAATCCAGCACTTTGGGAGGCCGAGGCGGGGATACAAGGTCAGGAGATCGAGACCACGGTGAAACCCGTCTCTACTAAAAATACAAAAAAATTAGCGGGCGCGGTGTGGGCGCCTGTAGTCCAGCTACTCGGGAGGCTGAGGCAGGAGAATGGCGTGAACCCGGGAGGCGGAGCTTGCAGTGAGCCGAGATCGCGCCACTGCACTCCAGCCTGGGCGACAGAGCAAGACTCTGTCTCAAAAAAAAAAAAAAAAAAAAGAGATATAATGCTTTACTTGCAAAAAAACTATAAATACAGTCATGTACCATATAATGATGTTTCAGTTAATGAAAGACCACATACGAGGGTGGTCAGAACAGCAGGCTATACCATATAGCCTAGGTGTGTAGTAGTAGGCTATACCATCTGAGGTTCCTGTCAGTACAGTATGATGTCCATATAATGATGAAATCACCTAACAAAGCATGTCTCGAAATGTATCCACATTGTTAAGCAACACATGACTGTAGTTAATTGTTACAATTGAAATATTAGATGTACTTATTAAAATCCAGAATTCCCATTATCTGGATTATTTAATAATGTTCAGGAAATTTTGCCAGTGCAATGGTGCATTAAACAATGTCTTTTAGAAATGAGGTGGCCAGATTTCTATTTGCAGGTAATAATTGTATATCGAAAACTAGAAAAAGAAATGATTATAAATGGAGCTACTTAACCTTTACATGTTGAATGCTGCCACTGTTAAAATTTCTGAGGGGGTATAATAGAGAAACTATCCCATAGTTCATCTGGAAAAATAAGTAGGTGAAAATAGCTAAGAAGTTTTTGAAAGGGTAATATAAACCTAGATTAACTATTTTTGAAAGGTAGTACAGAACTGAATGCACAATTAGATATCAATGGTATGTACTCACCCAAAAAAGATTTCAGTATCATACATGTGAGGGCTTAAAACATTGTGATAAAGATGGGATCACAATGGGAAAAGGATTATCCAATAAGTAGGGCAGGCATTCTCTGTGCCTGCTAGGGAAGTGTAACTTGTTATACTCTTTATGTACAGCAGTTGGCAGTCTGTGAAACTTAAATTCACATACATAACCTTTTGCCCTGCAGTTCCACTTCTAGAAATTTATCTTACCAAACAAAGCACATAGATGTGCAAAAGTATGTATTTACAAGTATATTCTTTGCAACTTGGTAATATCAAAGAATTGGAAGCAACCTAAATATCTGCCATAGGTAGGATAACCATATGCTCTGGCTTTTTGAACACTATGAGTTTATACCTGCTGTTCTTGGTATAATTATTAATCGTGCTCCTTTCACTCTCAGTGTCTCACTTTAGATAATAAATTACACAGGATTGGTGAAACAAATTTCATTTGCCCAGTGGAAAAAGGAATGAAGAAGTGCTTTAGGTACTGAGATGAAAGGATCTCTAAGGCATAATAATGTTTATTGAGAAAAGCATGGTGTGAAACTGTGTGGCATGCTACAATTGATGTATAAGAAGAAAAATGTGTGTATTCATATTTGTTTGTATATGGTAGACTGTCTCTGAAGATATACATGGAAGAACCTGATCACATTGGTAGTCTCCAAGGAGTGGAACTAGATACCTGGGGGATAAGGATCCCAGGAGTGCTCCTTTTCATTGTAAACTTCATTGTACTTTGAGTTTTTAACTGTTCAAAAATATAAAATTAGAAATAAAATATTTCAACAAATAATAAAATGGGATATTTGGGGAAGAAAGTTATCTCAGGGCCTCCAAAGAAGCAGAAGCAGTTGGATATATGAGTATTTATTTCAAGGAAGTGGCTTATGCGATTGTGGGGACTGGCAAGTCTAAAATCTGTGGGACAGGTCAGAAGACTGAAAAGTCTCAGGTAGGAGCTGAGGCTGTGGTTTGGGAGCAAAAGTTCTTCCTCTTGGAAACTTCAGGTTTGCTCTTAAAGCCTTTCAGTTGATTGGATGAGTCTCACCCACATTATGGAGGATTATCTCTTTTTACTTAAATTTAAGGGATTATAAATGTTAAGTACAACTCCAGAATACGTCCACAGGAGTACCTAGATTCAAGTTTTATAATAGTTTTTTAATATAATAGTTTTTTAATAACTAGGCAATGTGTCCTAGCCAAGTTGATGCACAAAACTAACCTTCACAGTCCACTCTTAGTCAGCTTGGCACCTGTATGCATCTTTTTTGGGTTTTTTTTGTTGTTGTTTTGTTTTTTTATGAGACAGTCTCACTCTGCCACGTAGGCTGGAGTGCTGTGGCCTGATCTCAGCTCACTATAACCTCTGCCTCCCGGGTTAAAGCGAGTCTCCTGCCTCAGCCTCCCGAGTAGCTGGGATTACAGACGTGCACCACCACACCAGGCTAATTTTTGTATATTTAGTAGAGACGGGCTTTTGCCATGTTGGCCAGGCTGATCTTGAACTCCCAACCTCAGGTGATCTGCCTGCCTTAGCCTCCCAAAGTGCTCGGATTACAGGCATGAGCCACTGCACCTGGCCTGTATGCATCTTAAACCATATTTTAGTCTCTATTCAAATAAAGACAGTAACTAGGTTGTACTTCTAACATGTACAACCACGAATATTCCCTGGAGGAGATTTCCTCAGAAGAGGATGCAATCCATTCCCCAAAGGAGGATGCAAAGTCCTTGGTGATCACTTTTTTCCTTGCTATCCTGTACCTTAATACTGCGATGTAAGGATACTATTAATATATCTTACATTAGCTAAGAGGATAAAGGAGGGGGAAAAAGATTTGTTCAGTATATATATGTGTGTATGTGCAATATATACATATTTGTATACATAAGTACACAGACATAATCACAGTTCTTGTTTTGGCAATTGGACATGTGATTGTAGCTGGTATTTTTAACACCTTGCATTGCCTATTCCATATTTCCTTGCTCTCAGCAAGCAACTTGGCTATTTGGGATTCTGCCTGGTGAGATATTCCAAACCTTCATTCCTGAAGAATCTGAGCCATTCGTTGTCCTTCCTGTATTAGGTTTTAAAGTTTTCCATTGACTTTAATCAGGGCTTGGTAAAACAGATCTAGTGGATCTCCTGTATTCCAGACATACCCTTCTTTATTTCCTTGTGCAGTAGCAGCCCAGTTTCCCCAGGCAATCAGGACTAGTCACCATAGTCAGTACAGTAATTCTCTTCTTTATGTGTTGATTCAGAGGCATGAGGAGTGCAAAGTGGCAGAGTGGTAATCTTAATGTCCAGTTTAATAGAATCATTGTGTCTCCTGGTTGAGGTATTACTGGTTTGGGAACAAAGTCTGCTAGAACTAAAGAGCATAGGAACTTGGGGACAGAAAACAAAAATCATGCCAGTGGACAAGGGGTGATAGTGAGTGGCACAGCTCCCATTTCCACCCCTTCATTGCTGGATCTGTGAATCCTGGCTCTGGAAGAAAGAACACCATATATTGGATGCTGATTTTACAGCATATATAGCCTCCTGGAGAACATTGCCTCAGCCCTGCAAGATACCGCCACCTACCTAGTGCTGTAACTGAGCTTTCAAAAGGCTATTCTACCATTTTCTCAAGCCAGCTGCTCCAGGATTATGGGCAACATGGTAAGACCAATGAATTACATAAGCAATATAGAAAACAGTGTTGCCGCCAAATTCCAAAGATGCTTGTTAGGTATGTACTGTTTTTTGTTTTGTTTTTATTTTCAGAGGGCCAGATGCAACAAGTTGTTCTTTACCTTAGGAGAGATATCTTGACATGTCCCACAACACTGGACCCCTAGAAATTCTGGTAAATTGGAAGGCACTTGAATTTTTGTCATATTTATTTCCCACCCTCTGAGACAAATGTCTCACCAATATGTCTAGGGTATTTGCTACTTCTTGTTGACTAGGTCCAGTCAACGTAGTGTCATCAATGTAATGGACGACTGTGATGTCTTGTGGAAGGGAAATGCGATCAAAGACCCTGTGGAGAAATTATGACATAGGGTGAGAGAGCTGATAACACCCTTGGGGTAGGACAGTAAAGGTATGTTGTTGGCCTTACCAGCTGAAAGCATACTGCTGTTGGTGGGGCTTATGGACAGGGATGGAGAAAAAGGCATTTGCCAGATCAGTAGCTGCATACTGGGTGTCAGCGGATGTGTTAATTTGCTGAAGCAATGAAATCACATCTGGAAAAGCATCTGCAACTGGAGTCACCACATGAGTAAGTTTGTGATAATGTACTCATTCTCCCAAGACCTGTCTTTTTCTGCATAGGTCAAATAGGTGGGCTGAATGGAGATGTGGTGGAATCGCCACCATTGCATCCATCAAGTCCTTGATGGTGGCACTGACCTCTGAAGTCCCTCTGGGAATGTGGGCTTGCTTTTGGTTTACTATCTTCCCAGATAGA